GAATGCACTCTCTCTGATGGAAACCAAACTGCCGGCAGTTGATTTCAATCGTTGGAATTTTGTTTTGCAAAATTAATATATATATATATATATGTATATATGTATATGTACGGTTTCAAAATGTTTGCAAATGGTTTTAATTCCCGGGATCCATGTGAGTAGAGAGTGCGGCACTGTTCCTTGCAGCCGAGGGAGAGGTCCTCTCTTGTCGGGCGGTGCTTGATCATTAAGGGCTGAGAGGTTAAGTGTAAGACCATTTAGGATAGTACCTGATGGGCTAACCTTGCACCTGCCCACGGTCCCTGGGTTTTTATAAGATGGCTAGGCCCAGGGACCACTTAATGTAAATGTTGGGCCCATAGGGTCCATGTGATGGGCTCAGGGGTTTATTGAGCTTTTCAGTGAATTCAGTTGGGCCTTGTAATAATGGTTGGGCCTTGTAATAATGGTTGGGCCGAACCCATGTGGCTGGTGTGTAGATCAATGCTTGGGTCCCACGCCATACAAAGAAGCCCGACTAGGCAGCAAATTGGAAACTAGTTAAGCACTGAACACTTAATGGGCCAAAAGCCCATTTCGAGCTGGGCTGATATGATCACCCATCCATGGGGCGGATCTAAGATTAATGTTAGCAAAAGGATAGGGCATTTTAACCTTATCCACTCTGGGAGACCAAATTCAAATCAAATTTGAATCAGGTAACCTCCTGATAAGAACAGGAATAAACTAACTTAATCTATAGATAGGATTAAGATCATCCCCTATCCAAATACTGATTTGGATTGGGATAACTCCTAACAATGAGGCTTTCTTAATCAAGAAAAAAGGAGGAAAACTCTAAGAAAAAAACATTAGATTTCGAACAAGGGTTTTAGAAAAAGCAAGATAGCTTCCTGCGAACAGAGATTAGATCTCATTCACACTCCAAAGAAAAGAGAAGCAATTCAGCCATCTTCGTCCCAAGAGTTCTCCTCCAGCCGCCGCCACTCTTTCTGACAAGATTCGATCTTTGAAGAAKAAAGAAGTCAAGAAATCAGTTCTTGACATCAGTCTTGCAAAAAAGACTGACAAAGATTCGGTGTTCAGAGTTTCCAGAGAATTCTTGCGAAGGATCCAGTGTGTAGAACGCACTCTGCTGGTTCCGTTCCACCCACAGTTGTGTCATCTTCAACAGGAGCGGATCTTTGTGTCTTCTTTGGGCGTGAACACCAACTTTGGGAGATACTGCTTCTCCGGATCAGGTATATTCCTCCCCTTTTCTTTTTGGTTCAAATCTGGTTCGATTATGGTTCAAGTAGGATCCTTGAATATTGTATTCTAAATTTAGGGAATATGATTCCCAGTTGGAAGAAGGTAGGAAAATTTTTGAAATTCGCCCACCCATTCCGCAACCTTCTTGGCGTCCATTAGATGGATCCTACCATTCTTTCAGCTTCATATAAACTTCCTGAAGAAGATCACCATGTAAGAAGGCACCCTTGATGTCAAGCCAAAATAGGGGTCAATCGCACATTGTTACTAAAGATCAAAACCCAATTAAGGCCCACCAGAAATCTGACTTTATGAAAGTCAGTGGAAGCCACTTTGATTTGACCTAAAATTAGAACTAGGGCGTAATTTAGTTCCCTTCAGCAAATATGAGTGCATGTGATAGGGAGATCCATATGATGGACTCTCTAAAGGCCTTCCATTATTAGCACAATGATGGGTCCTTCAGTAATGAGGAAACGCACCATAAAATTGGGCTATCCATTTGCTGTTGGATCTGTTAGAGTGACTTTCATAAGATGATAGGGGCATCATAGACCGATGTGGGAGGGGCTTCACCAGAAAATGGGAACTCTCTCACGGTACCTTGGCATAACCTGAATATGATGGGTGAACACTCACTGGACAGAAAGGTTTACCTGAAAACGGCTCTGAACCTTGTCTGATAGAGGCCAAAGGGAAACTCATTCGATGAGTGGATATGATCCGTCACAGAAAGGTGGTGGGGTTATGCAGCTGAAACAGTTGGCTTCATGCACCCCATGTGATTTTCTCACATTTCTAGAGACATTTCGTCGTCTCCGTCACTGAGAAATGAGGGAAATCTAAGAGATGAAAAAATGGGAATGGAACATAGATTAAAAACCATATCTATGTAGGAAACATGAATCGAACTAAGGTTGTGGACTAACGTCTTTGCTGTTTTATCAGAAAATGCCAAACGGTCAATAAAGAATCCATCTAAAGTGTTAGAAAACACAACCAGAAATCAGAAGCATAATAAACTTACCCTTTGCGTAGGTATGCCTTAGTTATAGAAGGATCCAGCTCAATTGCTTTGTTTGCATCTGCAACAGCCTCTGCTCATAAAATGTGCTTGTGTTAAAAACCAATTTTATAACTAAACCTAGAATAACACCTATCAAAAAAAAAAAGCTAAACCTACAACAACTACAACTGCAGCAATGAAGAATTTCTATTGGAGAGTCAAGTATATTTAGATAACAATAAAAGAAACAAAAAAAGAACATAAAGGAAACAACTCCATCGATGTCAAAATGAAAAAAGAATATTAGACGACAAATTTTTTCTACTTCTTACTTCAAAAAATATACAATTAGAATAAAAGCCTATGTTGAAGTATTCTTTGAATTCTAGATAGTTTCCAACAGGGATTTTTTTTCGTTAATTCACATAAGAAAATTTATTGCACAATTTTACCAAATATACCATAGAATTTTAGCATATCTTCATTTGCTATATACTTTATACTTTCTTATCTTTGTCCAACATTTTTTTGGTATACAATTTATTTATTAAAATAAAAGACAAATTACAAGGAAGGTCACCAACCATCCATCACCAGACACTGCATCATCTTAACAATACTACCACTACTGAAAAATACCCACAAACAAATGTCCCAAGAAAAACCAGGACCCATAGAGTCTTTTGGTTTTTATTTTCTTTTTTATATCTCCTTGTTTGATTCAACCGGGAGGAATTACCAACTTCAAGATTTTGCCACACTAAGGATTTGATATTATTCCAACACATATCAATCATTTTAGTTGGTAAAGAAAGGTAGGGTGATGTAATCAAATGCTAAGATCCATATCCCAGATCAGTTAAAAAGGGTTTCTATCAAGAAATTAGGACAGCACTTGGCATGCATTTGGATAACTAATTCTGACAAATTTAGTTTTGTATCAAAAAATCATGATAAACTGAGTTATTATAAGAAGCATTTTTAGTTGTGGTTATATGAAAAACATTGGAACTAATTCTTCACTTGGGCTTAAAAATCATTCTAATAATTTTTCTTATCAACAAAAAATCGTTCTAATAATTGATGCTTTGTTTCTTAGGAACTCAAAAATTAACTTCAAAAAAAAAAAATCATTTTTGGCCCTAAACTCATTTTTCAAATAGTTATTCTTTGAAGCATAATTTTTTCCAAGCATAACCTAATTATCCACATATTTACAAAATCAATAAATAGAATAAAAAACACAAAGAATACCTGACATGAATTGCAACCAAGTTCCAATAAAACTTGGAATGTCAACTAAGTTTACTTGCCTTGGTCCAATTTATAGACAAGCAAACCTCCTATAAAAACACCGAACCACTAAAACAGCATCTTTTAATCCCAGCCTGTCCACAAAATAATATATCCCCCCCCCAAAGAAAATGTCACACTCTCTGTCCAGTTATCCATGAAACTTTAAATCTATAATCACGCATCCACTTTTGAACCTGGGTTCAATCTCCACTGCCTTCTCCTTCAACAACAAACACAACTACAGAACTACTAAATGGTGAATCAAACAAAATGAAGCTTTGCATGCTAACTACTAAGCCGTATAATTGAACAGTTATAGAGGTTAGAGAAGTCTATTACACATGTGTGCAAGTAAAGGGTAAAGATATAAGTTAGCATCATATAAGCAAATTTAACTTTTATGGCTTGCACCAAAACCAAGACAAGTGTCTGCTTTATTTAGAAAGGTAAAGTATCTACTTTATACAGTATATATTAGTAGTTGCACCTTTAAGCAAAGGACTTGTACAAGTTCTCTAAGTTAGAAAGTTGAAATTTCAATAGCCAGTATTAATTAAAGGGTCAATATAATACAGCGGGTAACTGCTAACTGGGCATAGGGTTCACATGGACTGAGCATTTATTATCTGGATTGAGAACATATCTGCTGCAACCATGAACATAGCACTTTCTTGTTTAAATTATATCTTAAAGCAAAGGACATTTACAAGTTCTCAAAGTTAGAAAGTTGAAATTTCAATGGCTAGCATTAATTAAAGGCTCAATATATACAGTGGGTAATTGGCTATAGGGTTCACATGGACTAGGCATTTATGATCTGGATTAAGAACACATCTGCTGCAACCATGGGCGTAGCACTTTCTTCTGACCCCTAATAAAGCACAGACATAATACCAGCATATCTGAACTCATCTTGATTAACAATGTCATCTTCCATGGTGCTAAAATAGGAATAGCATATAGGGAAGGTAACCTAATTACCCATTTAGAAAACCACTGAATTTGGAACAGCTTTTTACATGGCAACTCTTCTGCTAGACAAGTCACCTAGCAAATATCATAGGACCCTGAGAATCTTAAACTTGATAATCCTTCTGTTGATCTGATATAGCTTTGCATGTTCACTAACATATTACACTTCATTTATAACGAAGATTTAGCTTAAACAAACGGTTGCTAGTTAGCAAAAGGGAAACATTTAACTGTTAAATGAAAATTTCGCATTAGTTGTAATGATGTTGTTAGTGACTGAAGTTTTCAATCTAGGACCTTCCATCTTTTTATTCAAACTGGACGGAAACATTCAATGAAAGGATTGATAGAATTCGTTGTTCTATCCAAACATGGAGGTATCTTCTATGAGAGAGAGAGAGAGAGAATCACTTTAGTGGAGGCTAAATGCATCATATCAATCTTAGAGGTTAGAAGTATTGGTTCACCAGTCCCCTACGACAAAATTTTTTATTTTTGTTCCGCTGATGATGATGCTGACTAGAACCGCCAAAAAAGAGAACAAAAATATATTCCAATTCATCTAGCACAAATTCCAACATTGACTCGAACTACATGCATAAAATCCTTGCAATTTAATGAAGAGTATTACGAGTAACAACCACAGTGAGAAATACATTAAAAAAACCCCAAGACCCAAGCACATATATGTGAAGAACAATTGGCACCATTCGATTAGAGCACAAATAAATCACAAAACGCTAAACTTAATGAAATAAATAGAGACATACTTAGACGCACATATCATCTCGAAGATTTCTTTGAAGTCAGGATAGATAGATATGGAGAGAGAGAGAGAGAGAGACCAGTGTAGCTCTTGAGCTTGATATTGGCTTGTGCACGGTCAGCGTAGAGATCTGCGCTGTTAGGGTCTATATCTATAGCCTGGGTGTAGAGATCAACAGCGAGTTCGAAATTATCGTCAACGAAGGCCTCTTTGGCTTTCTTTTCGAGATCAGTCGCCATTAGTGAGGTTTAGGGGAAGAAAGGACGACGACTCGAGGATCAAATTGTGATTTGAGAAAAGATTTATCAGCTTCAGTCTTCAGCTTCTGATAGTCATCACTTTAAAAAGTAGGATTTAGGAGGGGGGCAGGCCGAGGAGGACCAAATAATTAAAAGACAAACGATTCTCTCCGCCTTCTAGAGAGTTCTCAAGATAGACAACTTCAAACCTTATCAGCGTTAAGCCGGTGAGTTCCACTGAATCACTACGTTACTCCTTCGTATTTACTATTTTATCGTTTCTATTTGTTTTGGTAAAAACTCTATGCCAGTGGTCAGAAACCACCGGCATAAAAACACTTTTATGAAAATATATTCTCGAAAGCGTTTTTATGAAAGTATTTTTATAAAAGTAATTTTTATAAAATTATTTTTACAAAAGTATTTTTATGAGAGCATTTTTATAAAAGTACTTTTTATATGTACAAAAGCACTTTTGTAAGCATTTTTACAAAAGTATTTTTATGACAACACTTCTACAAAAGTTCTTTTACGAAATCATTTTTACAAAAGTACTTTTATGGAATCATTTTTACAAAAGTACTTTTATGAAAGCATTTTTATGAAAGTACTTTTATAAAAGCTTTTGTATGAAGTACTTTTACGAAAGCACTTTTACCAAAGTACTTTTACAAAAGTGCTTTTTATTCATTCACATTGGATTGAATTGGACCCAATCTGGTCCATTTGCATTTTAATTGGGTTGGGTTGAATTACAGTAGGTGTTTGTAGTTTATTAATATTTTCTGGATTTTTCATGTTTATTTTGGTGTTTGATTCAATTTGTATTGGATTTGACCCAATCTAGTCCAGTTGCATTTTATTTGGACTAGATTGGACTTGGTTTCTATGGATTTTGTTGAGTCTATTTGTAAATGGTATGAATCTTGTTTGGTTTTACCTCTTAAAATTGGTATTGTTTGGACTAGATTGGACTTGTTTGGTTTTACTTATTAAAATTAGTCTTAAATCTTATTTTCAAATCTGAAAACAATAGACCTTGAGCCAACTCTTAACGCGTTTAGACGCATTTCAGAGCCGGTGCATAGTCCAAAATATCCTTACAATATTTTGAAAATGACGCAAATTACCCCTAATAACCCCAAACCTAGAAAACCAAAACATCTTACCTCTCTCGCTCTCTCTCTCAGCCCTGTCTTCCCGCCACTACTTGCAGCGGCGGCTTCTCTCCCCACGTATTCTCTCTATCTCTCTCTCTTTGCCCTATCTTTCAGCCACCGCCGCCGCACACACACGCACACTCTCTCTCTCTCTCACTCTCTCTCTTTCTCTCTCCCCCTGTCTTCTCTCGCTCTCTCGCTCTCTCTCTCTCTCTCTCTCTCTCTTTGCCTGGTATTCCCACCGCCGCGGCTCTCTCTCTCTCCCCCTGTGAAGTCCAACGATGGTCCAAAGTGTATGCAGTCTCAACCGCAATGCGCATCAAATCGATTCTTTAATTACATTGTGTCTTCTACTGCGACTGTCAAAACTTTAGGACCTTGGGGTATGCCGTCTTGGGCACATGGCTTCTTGCTTTATTCTATATGTTGGGTAATACTGCAGTTGACTACTTTTGTTGTTCCTTGGAGAAGCTTTCAAGTCTCTTGAAGCTTCCCCCAACAGTTGCTGGTGTTTCTCTACTCCCTCTTGGAAATGGAGCTCCTGATGTGTTTGCTAGCATTGCCGCTTTTGTGGACACGGATGTAGGTGAAGTGGGTCTCGATAGTGTTCTCGATAGTGGGTCTCGATAGTGTTCTCTGAGTGGAGCTGTTTTTGTTACTTGTGTTGTTGTTCGGACTGTCTCGCTTTGTGTTGCAGAGAAGAGGGTTCAAATTGACAGGAGATGCTTTATTAGAGATATTTGTTTTTTCCTCCTCACCCTTGTGCCACTTTTACTAATTTTGATAATTGGTAAAGTGAGTGTTGGTGGAGCAATTGCCTTAGTCTCGATCTATATTGTTTATGCTTTTTTTCTGTTACTGCAAATGAGATATTGAGGAAACAGGCCCGCAAGTTAAAGCTGGATGCTGTGACGCCATTGCTTCCAGTCAAAGGGAGTATCTTTTCCATAGGAAGTAAGGAAGATGAATCTATTTACAGCTCACTACTGGACATAGAATCTGAGGGTGATCCACCACACCTTCATACTACCTTACCACAGTGGACGTGGGCTTCAAATGTGGCAATTTATTCAAATCAGACATTGAGGATTAATGAGTTAGATAGCCCAAGGCGTTTGTGGGGATGGACTGATGAGGTAACTAATATTGATGATCGTTCACTCATTTCCTGTTCTAAAATACTTTTGATGTAGCGCAATCCGGCTGTTCCCAGCTGGAAGTGATCTGGCTTCCAGAAGACGACGGACTCGATTGATCTGCAAAAAGTGAATCAGAGAACCCGAGGTTGCTTACCTGGCAAGGTCGCTCTGATGCTAAAGTTAGTAATTGGTTGCGAGCTGATAATAGCTTAGAATGCAAGAGTGCTAGAGAGCAGAGATTACGTGTACCTTGCACCCCCTGTTAGACAGTTTTGTATGCCCTTAGCTTCAATCCGATTTGATGTACYTTTGACATTTACTGTAAATAAATAAAGTGCATGTTTGATTCATGTTGTTTGGTATGTGATGAAAGAAGATTTGGCCCGACCTCGCAATCACTCCACATGGCAAAAACAAATAGCTCGACACTTAAAGCAACGTACCCAGGGCGCAAGCACCAAAGGGAACAAACCAGCAACCCGAACTCCCCTCGAGGAGACCGAACTCCCTTCGAGGAGCCCGAACTCCCTACAAAGGGCCCGGCCTCCCTACTAAGAGCC